AGGGGGTCTATATCACTCAAACATGAAGCGCTCGAAAAATGGCTACCAGATTCTAACAGTTCCATTTTAGGGGAGTCCAAAGACATATCTCAAGCAGGTATAAGTAAAGAAAAAAAATAAAAAATAAAGCATCTGTAAAGAAAGGAAACAGTTTTGCTGTCACTCGCCATAGAAACCAATATAGAAAAGGAGTGGGCGTGGTCTCGAAGCAAATCAGACATTAAAGGTGCTATAAACAATTTCCCTGCTTCTCTTGATGGAACAAGCTAAAGAATGGAGGACAAATGCAGCAAGCAGGACCCATAGAAGTCATATTGTTGTGTAAACATACTGATGTCATTTAAGCTAAGTCTATGCATATACACATAGCTGTATATAAAGAATAGACCCACTGCCTTAGGCAGTGACCTCAGGCTAGCTAGCTAAGACTTTAAACTACATGTAAACATTAATGTCATCAATACCAAAGGTTATCTATGCTACAAAGTGAATCTGATATTATATGAGCTCATCGGCATAGTTGTGGCTGTTGTATGAATTTTGTGGTTAGCATACATTTGCTGTTGAGATAGACCTGATTTCTATCTCCATTCTTGTTGTAAGTGTACACTGCAAAAATGCCGGTGGGAAATACACCCAATTGAAGTGGGTAAAATACACCATTTGATTTTCCACCACAGTGGTTTTATCCCACTGGTGTTGAATTCCCACCTTTCGTCGCAATATCACACTAATAAGAGTGTTCATTATAAATGTACTTTAAAATTATTTTAAAGTCAAAATATTAAGTACTTTTGTACAATAAAGTAATAGTTATTCAATGATGAATTAAAACTTTGATGAAAGTTATATGCATGATGGTCACAAAAATCAGATAGCTTACAAATAAGTGTGATCTCTCTTTCTTTATTTATAGTATAACAAGCATGGTAATGCCAGCAATATTCAATATTGTGTAGCTTGTCAACAATAAAATAAATTGTGTTATCTTGAGAAACAATAATTAACTTGATGACACACAGCTGAGGAACATCATCTTTAATTTCTTTAATTAGAACATAACCAGGTTTGTAGACTTGACTACGAACTTTCACCCATGGATAACTAAAATGGTATAATATATACATGTAGTTACTGTAATACAATCAAAATCTAGACTTACATAATCACTGCAGTTTCTTCATTGTAATCAGTAAAAGTTTCTAAAATTAATCTTTTTTCCTCCAAACAACCAACTGAAAAGCTTCTACCTATTACAAATAATCACAGACTTATCTTTATTTAAAATTTTTATAAAATACCTTTTCCGAATTCTAGGTCAATTTGTGAACCTTGTAAGTAGTAACAACTTAAACGTTGGTGTCTCAAAGATAGGGTTTTAGCTATATTCTTGTAGTTGCCAATAACATGAGCCATCTCCTTAAAATAATTATTCTTTGCCTCAAAACGCATACACCAATGCCTGCTTAATGGGCCAAACCTATGCCAATAATGAATATTATAGCAATGATTATAAAACACTAGCTAACCTTCTCATACAACTGGGGTAATGAATAAGATAATGCATCTTAGGAATTATGCTTTGATCTGGATACAGAGTCTTAAATTGTGTCAAAAACAGCCGGATAAGATGGTCTAAATGATCTAAACTTTTGCTGCTGCACTTTGGACCAAATATGTTATCAACAATTTCACACAAAGTAAGCATGTTAGACCAGTGCTCATCATCTTCTGACACTAAATCACCAATCAACAAGGGAAAATAGCGCCCAAGACACCACATTTCAGTTGCTAATAAAGAACAACACGTGTATTAATAAACAAATTTTGTATAATAATTATACCTGATTGCCTCAATGACTTGTCACTAGACATCAATGATGTACTTGAAATTGTTGCTGGCTTCTCAGATTCACAAGCACCAAATGGAAAGTAACAAATTCTATCATTAAACTCTTCGAGAGTAATGTAGTGCTTGTGTTGAATAAAAGTAAGCAATAATAATTTTACAGTGTAAGGTAAAACTCCCTCTAATACATCGTGCATACAATCAGGAGGAAGGCCATCTGCACAGAGAAAATACTTGGAACTATTTAAAATAGAATTGCGAGAAATTCCGTAAGTGGTGGATAAGTGATCATGTAAAGGACCATCAAGGTATTGACATGCTTTTTATATGAATTCCGATCTCTGCGAAGGAAGTACTGCTCACGAAACTAGTATGTATACACAATCACATATGCATGTAAATCTCAAAAATACAAGCATACCTCAGTTTGAATTAATGATTGTGTGCCCATACACCAGCGACATTTTCTTAATGCTGCATTAAGAGCTTTAAAGCCACCTAATAATTGGCTTGCCAAATTGTCAGCACAACAAACAGAAAGACTGCCTCGTAGGTATTGCGAAAAACCGTTAACAGAAATTTCACAACCACAGTCCTATAAAATATGTACATATATGTGTTATACATGTACGTACATTCTTAACAAACCTCTTCAAATTCCTTTATCTCATTCATAAAAGGTTTCAATATTTCATCAATTCCATACTTTTCAATGTCTAAAGTATAAGCAATGCTTAGTAGATATATATGCCGAACAGTGGACCGGTAGTAAGGATGAATATTACCAAGAGTAAAATAAAACATTCCTAAAGAAGCGAATGGTATAGCATATGATATGCCGTTAATCATTATCATGTACATGCACATGTGCATGTTAGTGCACTGTAAATGCATACATAAACATTTGTTACATGACATACCAAGTTTGTGTGTTTTAGTGTGGGACCCTAAAGGATTGACAACTTCCATGTCATCGTAATACAAAATGACTTGCAATGAATATGGATCACAAGAAAATAGTGGGTGAGTATGAAATTGGTCTCTGTCACTCCATAATATAATCATTCGATGAATGAGGAGAAGAAATCTGAATTAAGAAATGGTTTAATGTAATGTACATGTAACCATGCATTGAGTTCTTACTTGATCTAGTAGAAAAGCAGAATTCATCAAGCTCTGTATAGTAGCCTTAAAGGGGACATAATAAAATTTATCAAAATTACGCTTTAATCCAGATGAGTTAGAAAACACACTAGAACCTAAAATTATTTAATGTGGTTCCTGTAATGCCATTATAAATAATTATGAAATAATTGCAAACTCACAATAAGACCTAAAGTTTCCTTGAAGTATTTCATCTGTAAGTACTCTGTATCGATTCCGTCGAATGGCTTCATTCCAGAAGTAAAATTAGCTTCAAAATCAGGTACTATAGAAACATCAATCCCACAAAACATGAGAGACCTTTGGGTTTTCTTCTGTGCATCAGTAAGTGCTACTTCAATAAGTTGTTGCACATCTCCTAAAATGTTATTAACAGCAGTAAGAGTCAATTTCCTCACTTCTGATGTCTTTAAAATAAACAAAGCTTTTGACTTCTTAGTAGCTTCATCGTCATCATCTTCTAATGGCTGGGAATTGAAAATATGCTCCTCTATTTCATCATCATCAGAATCTTCATTAAAGCTACATTGAATTTCAAATATCTGTTCAGAGGTACATGCATTATCATCATGCCGAGCCTCCCTATGGTCTAAAATTGAATAAAGCAGTATATACTCAAGTTACAACAAAGTACCTTCATTGACTTGTGATGGTAACGAATTGAAGAAAGATAAATGTGGTTCAGACTGGCCTTTCAAGACAGCAAAATGATTCTTGTACAAGTGAGATTTATATGTTACGAAATTATGAAATTGAGCCACACAGCCACAAATACCACAAGAAACCCTAAAATTTGGATAGTGTGAATGAATTGATCCTATATGTCGAACTACATCTGAAAAAGACGAGGAAACAAAGGAATCACAAAGCCAACAGCTATGTAGTTGACGCCAAGGTAGTTGAAGAGCAGCCGCCATTTTATTAATAACATGTAACCAAGGTGATAACAATTTGCCCCTCCCAAGTTATTTTGTGCGCATGCGCCTTTTTCCAAATTCCAATTAACACGATACAGCTGCTTGCGAGAGATCTACGCTGCCATTATCCCCAG